AATAAAGCATCCCGATAATTGTTAAAAAGAATAATGTAAAAGGTTAGCGAAGTATTGTCGGAAAATAATCTGCCAGATAAACGAGAAAAATTTAATGTTACAGATAAGTATGTAAATGAGGAGAGTGAGCTCATTCAGAATTGTGACGTCACCTCACACTATAAAGCCTCTAACTCAAGTGAAAACGAACGAGGTGAATTCCTGATAGCAACGAGCTTTGGTGAGCTTCGTAGCAGTGAACGAGAGAGGTGTCCGATAGGATTTTGAATTTATTCGATTTGTGGATCGACGAATAGAGAAAGTCTTGAGAGTTGAGGAAATAGGTTCCTAGTATATTGAGGTGACGATTAGGATCTTTAATTCATAAGAATTATTGTACATAAATTAAGTCTTTGATTTTGTCGAATTCCAAAGGGGAATAGAATTAAGTTAGAAAATAGATTGATTTGAGTTTTGTCGGGTTGATTCTTATTTACTTTCATTGAATAAATTGTTATTTGATTTTACTAAATATTGTATATAGTTATTATTAGAATTATTTATTAAATATTTGATTTGTTATTGACAAACTTTGTCATTATTTAATTTGGTGCACGCCTAAAGTCCAGGCCTGGCACACTAACGCAAATTCGCATAAAGTACCCGTTAGGGAACGACTATTTCTGGCACACAGTAGTGTCAATAATCGTTGAAAAAGTCAGAAAAATAATATAGTACTTTACATTATTATTAAAACATACACACTTAATTAAATTAGCCATTTGCCAGTACTTGTCTTTTTAAGTCAGTCATTGAACTTTCAATTATGATTCTTCAATTTATGTCATTGACTAAATATTATTTAATGATTTCAAATGACTCAAAAAACTTTTAGACAGAATATTATCAAACTTGATAATAGTGTACAGGATGTTATGGGTTTTTATTTCCCATGAAAAAAAAGTTCAAAAACGCACCATCAATGGGAAATGGCACTGTCTGCAATTTTGTTAAACAAAATAAGACATGAAGACATCATTGAAAATGTTTTAATTGTTTCTAAAATGTGTTACAAAGCATGTTTAATGTGGCATCCACCATTTTCTGAAAGCAAGTTAAATTCCTCCTGATGTGTTAAGAGCTACTGTTGAGAACACAGTAATGTGATGAAACTTGCTTATCAAAAATGGTGGACACCACATTGAACATACTCTGTAATGTGTTTTAAAACCGATTAAAATAATTTTCAACGATGTCTTCATGACTTATTTTGTTTAACAATATTGCAGACAGCACCATTTCCCGTTGGTTATGAGTTTTTGAACTATTTTTTTTTTTGCAGGAAATAAAATCCCATTATGTCCTGTACACTATTACCAAGTTTGATAACATTCTGTCCAGTAATTTTCATTTTATGGCCATTTCAAAGTGGAACTTTAATTATAAATACCTGTGTGTATATGTATATATATATATATAATTACATTAAGTAATTGCCATATTTTTCTTTTTCCAAGATTAATTCAATAAAATTAATCCTTTTTATATTAAAATATTAATTTATTAACATACTTATTTAAAATTTCTTCACGTAAAGCTTCTATAGCAATTCTTGTCATGTTTATACTCATTACACAAAATGGAAAATTCTAAAACAAATTAAAATTTTATAATTATCAAAAATAATTGAAATAAAAATGAAATCATTTACTCTTACTTATACTTCTACCTATATTATTTATCTTTTTTAAAGTAGAATTTGCATTAGATGAGATATATTATATACAAACTATTAAAGACTACTAACATATATCTTATTTTTGAAATATTTTTAAAAATTACAAGGAATATTATACTGACTGACACTAATGACAGCATTTTATAGCACTCACTATATTTTAATGGGAATAAAAAATGGGAATATTGCTCTCTAATATTTCCTCATGCATACATAGATATACATTAATGCTATTAAATTTAAATGGCTAAAGGGTTCAAAGGGGTGGAGAGATATAAAGGGTCATGTCTCAAGTGGTATTGGACTTAATAAAAATTTTATTCATTAGAGAGGTTGTGGCCAAAGTTTTCATCTGTAAAATGTGAACATTGAGCACCACCATCCTGTAAGCCTAGAAGTTTGACAATGAAATTATGCTTGATGTTCCAAATGCCATTGTCAAATTTCTATGCTTACAGAATTGCGCACTCAACGTTTGACATTCACGTTTTAGAGATGAAAACTTCAGCTGCAATCTCTCAATTATTGTTCAAACCCTTTGCCTTTTTTATAATAATTAATACATAATAAAAAATAATTATAAAAATGATTTTTTAAATACAATCTCATAACACATGGTGCCACACACAATTTTAAATTTGATCTAATGTCTTAGCCTTTTTAAAAACTTGCATTTTTTTTAAATAAATATTTTCATCATAATTTAACAAAATTACTGCTTTTAAGATTTTGTTGGTATTTAAATTTTATATTGTAGTATAGTCTAATTGAAAATTATTTGATTTTCTGATGGTCCCCTTAATCTACTGTTCAAGTGCCAGGAAAGTCAAGTAATACCCCGTTCCAGCTTTTTTACATTAATAAAAGCATAACCCTGTATAAAACAGAGTTGACTTTGTTTTGATACAACAAATGACTTCCAACAACTTAACACTGCGTTGAATACAGTAGAACCTCGAAAACTCGGCTCTCGATAACCCGGCACTCCGGATAACTCGACCACACCCTGGCAGGGCAAAAAAATCCTTAGTTAATTAATTTTCATTATAGACAGCTTTATAAAAGTATAAAAGCTCTCATAAAGTATTTTTCTGAGGTCTGTCTTATCAGGTAAATTACTGTACACAGTGTATTCATTAATTTTCATTTTCATGTAGTA